GTTAATATCTCAACAAAACAAAAGGAAAACACCAAAAGAAAATTACCTACATATGTATCAGATCACCAGTCAAAGAATAAGACTTGGGTTGGTAATGGATAGAGGGTGGGCATTCAAAGAGTAAAGGAGGTAAGGATCGTCCCTCACCTAGCCCTTTTAAGTAATAATCCTCCCTGAAATTGCTCAGCTATCATCCAAGATTCATTGAATGTGCCTCTGCTTCCATGTTGATCAGAGAAATATAGTGAAAGGAGACTTTGGGTTCCAAAAATTAAAGAATTTTACCTCTTACTTCAGTAAAACACACCGTTCAAAGACAACCAAAACAAAAGAGGGGAGAAGAAAATATGAAGAGATAACATCAATAGAAACAAATTACACTAGGAAAAATATATCAACAACTGTGTGCAGAGTAGGTAGATGATATCCAAAAGAAATCAACACAAATTCATACATAAACCATAATTCCCACACAAGTCCATAGAATTATATATCAACAATGAACATGAAAAAGATGGAAACAAACTCAAGAAGCAACTGTTGCTAGATCTCCTCAGAGTAGGAAATTAACTGCACCTGCTTGCACCTATATAAAATAAAGCAAAAGTAGAAAAACTAAGAGTCACTATTGTATAACATCCCTTGATTTTTATGGTTAGAACTTATATCGAACACAAATATTATAGAGAGTTGTAGAAACTTACTCAAGAGCATTGGTTGGGTTTTTGGGTTTTTCTCTGCTTATGACTTCGGTTGCACCTTCCAACTAATTTCTGTTGATATTTCTCCACTTTCTTCACTACCCACCATGGTTTTCCTATAGTGAAGGCAATGTATCCCAGACTAAGTCCCAACACCAGTCCACACCCATAGCCTGCCAATGCAAACTTCCACTCAAAGACTGCTATAGAGTCATCTTCTTCATCAATTTGTGGTGTAGGTGGTCTTGGTTCTTTGCATTTCTTTGTCAATGGGAATCCACACAACCCAGAGTTCCCAATGTAGGAATCATTTAAGAAAGTACACAACTGCTTCCTTTCAGGTATGTGGCCCACAAGTTCATTATGTGAAAGATTCAAAACTGACAGGAATGTCAGATTTGTCAATTGCTCAGGAATCTTGCCTGCAAGCTTGTTTGATGAGAGATCTAAGGACTCAAGTTCTGCTACTTTCCCCAATGATGATGGGATTTGACCACTGAGACTATTGTGAGATAAGTTTAGCAATAAAAGTGAATTGAGTTCTCCTAGCTCGTAAGGAATTGGTCCATGAAATTGATTGCTCAAGAAATCTATAGTTGTGAAAATTTTCAAGATCTTTACAAGCTCCCTCTTTGACCCTTTCATTACTACCTTCATAGAATCCTTATAAATAAAAACAAAACCTAGGCAAACATCATTTTTGGAACATAGCTCATAGCTAACAATGTATCCCAATTCGACTTCATCAGTTGGAGCTACATCTCTCATACCTTTCAAAATTTTGAAATAGTTACTCGGTAGGAGACCCATAAAATCATTCTGTGCGACATCAATGATTCTCAACTGAGGGAAGTAAAATGTAGGCATAGAATTGTTGATGGCACCATGAAATCGATTAGATCGAAGGATGAGAACGTTTAGCGATGGAAGAACACCTAACCAATGTGGAAAGGTATCATTCAAGTTGTTGTTACCCACATCTAGAATTTCCAACCTACTGCAATTAACCAAAGACCATGGCAGTATCCCTTCCAACTGGTTGCCATTTAGGGTGAGAGTTAACAAGCCACTATTGTTGACAAATAAATTTGGAATCCTACCATGGAATTTATTCATCCGTAGATCCAAGATGTGGAGATAACTCAAGTTTCCAAGACATTCTAGAATTTTTCCTCCCAACTTATTATTTTCTAAGACTAGAGCACTAAGATAAGTAAGATTACGATAAGAGGAAGGGATTTCGCCAGTCAAATTATTCCCTGAAATGAGGAGATGTTGCATAAAATCCCAAGTTGTTGATAGAATGGGAAGTGACCCTTGTAGTAAGTTGGATGTGAGGTCAACACTTGCAAGATATCCAAAACCAAATAAATCTATACTAGTCAAGAAGTTGTAAGAAAGGTTTAATGCCTCCAATGACATCCCTTCTATTTCCCATTTGTGAATTTGACCAGACATATTGTTCTTGGAAATATCCAATTCTTTCAATTTTTTTAATGAAACAGTTTACATTCTTCATAAATGAATTGCCTTCCCTTGAGGATGTTACACAAAAAGAAAAATATCCATCAGACACAACTTTCTTTATCTTCTTTTTTTTTTTTTTTTTAAACATATTTTGCAAGGGGCGAGTTTCGAATCCTGCCCGGAGGAAATGCACCGATGGCTAATGCTACTAGGCCTCAAGGACCAGGTGCCACAACTTTCTTTATCTTAGCTTTTCATCAGATACAAAAAAATAATTCATAAGACAATGCAATGTCAATGGCAATAACAGGTAAAGACATTTTTCATGTTTCAATTCAAGAATAACTCTCAAGCCTCTGACTGCAAAATAAGTACTTGAATATCAGAGCCATCAAAACAAGTAATTACTTCAGCCATGACAACAGAAATATCCATTTCTAGTCAATCATAACAAAGTTACTTTAATTTTTTTTATCTGACAAAATTTCTTTTAATATTAAATGAAGTTAGTTATATAATTAATAAAATTTT